ATGATATACTGTGTCCAAGCTGGTAGACACTCTTCAGGATACCAGACAAGCTTGCTTGTGCTGAAATCATGTATGCACGGTATTAAATTGCAAACCATTACTCGGCATTATCTATCATGCTAAGGGTATACTTGTGAAATCACATATTAAAAGACAAACTGAGAAAGAAAAAACTAAACGAAACTATTTTTCTAAAACTATTTTTCTAAAATGAATGTTAGCATTTATATAAGCAATATGCTAATAATGTGTAAATATTTTGTATTCACATTAAAAAAGCCTTAAGTACTCATGTTCCAGGGTATCTTCCTGCTTGAGGCCATCTTCATACTGGGATTAACTGGCAATCATAATTTACCCTCGTTAAAAGCCTTCTTCTGTTACATGTTATCTGATCAGAGTTTTTTTTACTGAAATAGTTCATCCCACGGCATTAAATTCAGCTCTTCAGTGTTCTTTCAGCCTGTCTAATGTCGGGTTCCTAAAATATTCTTATGCTTAAACCATGGCACTTCCTGAGTAATCCCTGGATTTGGGGGAAATGTGGGCAGGGTTTCCCCTTACTAAGTTACAGTTTCCCCTAACTTAGATAATTTGTATATCTTGAAATTATAGTGATGTTGTCATGGCTGTCTTTCCTTCTAAAGGAAAAATTGTGCTGCTTGTTGTTGTTGTTGTTGCTTCTTGCTCTGCAGGCTTGGGGGGTTTTTTGTAGCTCTTATTGCCGATGTGTAGGGTTTGAAGACATGTCTCCTTTCTGTTCATAAAACATATCTAATTTTCACTAGAGAAAATGAAGTAAAATACTCTACTCTGTTTTAAAATTGAGTAGTTCTTTGTATTTTTATTCTTAATCTCATGAAAACTCTGCCTATTCTATAGCGTTTTGCAGTGAAGTATATGGCTTCTTAAGCAGTAAATACTGAATATTCGATCAACCAACAAGTTCAAACTTCTTTTCTTTCAGGAATTTAGGAACAACGAGGTTACATATTTTCTTATGTTTTTCTTAATTCTTTTAAAACGTTGTGTTTTGACCCTTCATTCCAACACCTATTTCTTTTCCTTCGCTAACCCGAGAGGTTTATGTTGGGCGAGTTGAATAGCTGGTCTCCTAAAATGTGCTTTTTCAAACTTTAAATATTTTTTTCCAAGTTGCCGGTAATGCTTATTCAGATTATCTGGAAGGTAAATGAGACAGGAGCGTTAAAATTAAATTAGTTCTGATAGTCTGCTTGGGTAGATGTTCATTGCATACAGTTTGATAAAGTCCCACTAAAAATGTTGCCACTTTTATAGTAAAACACAGGCACAGATGGAGAAGTTCTTTACCAAGTACTGATTAGGTTTGTTTTCCAGGAATATTTGATTTTCCTGATCTTTTCTGTCATTCTAATTTCATGTTATTTTAAATTAAAATGCCATTTTTAAATTGTTAAATTTAAATAGTTAAATAGTCAATTTTAAACAGTTAAATTTTTAACTAATACAGACATTATTAGTTTTCCCGAAAGCTACGTGCAGCTTTTCTTTGGCCCATTTAAATATTGAAAACAGCAGGATTTAAGATTTTTCTCATAATCCTCAACTTAATAGAGTTTAATACTTTGTTTGGCCTACCCTACTCAGCCTAAACAAAAGTTTTAAACAAGATTAAAAATATGACCTTATTAACCCATGGCATCTAAAGATACATAACAGGCTTGCAGAGACATCAGTCGTTCACTAGCTATGATAGTGTGATGGCATTTCTACTCTAGTCAATCTGTGCCAGAGAAAAAAACATTTTGGGAGACCAGCTTATTTTTTTCTCTTGCAGTTTTGGCCGTTGTGCTAGCACTTTGGAATAAGAAATAGAAAAGAAAAAATCCATTTCTAAGATGAAGATTGCACAGTCAGTAAGCAGTCAGCCTTCATGGGTGCCGAAAACAAAGTTCAATTACTTTTTCGAAATTTGAGGTGGAACATGCTGTGGTTCTGAAAAATAATTCTGGCAGTGCAAATGGAGGGCAGAGGTCATGCTGTAAGAATAGTTAGCTTCTATTTTCTGCGTTTCCTTAGTCCTGGAATAAAATCAGTTGCAAAGTTTCTTTCTTTCTTTTTTTTTTTTTTAAGATGGTTAGACTGGTGGTTTCGGCTGTTGGATGAACGACTGATGAACGTGTCCTGTTCTAGAAGAATAAAGTATCTCATTGTCATGGAAAATTTACACTTAGTAAACATTACAAACACAAAACGACATGATACGTTCATTGCTGTGTAATAAGATTCCTTGTTTACTGGGCCTGCTATAGGGCCATGGCAACAAAACCAGAAATAGGAACTCCGCGTGTTCCTGTCGTAAAGATGAGGATGGTTATCAAGCAGTTCGTTAATGGCTGGAGTTTTACATCGCTTGGTGCCTGTGATCACGTTACGCTGCTGCTGGTGGCTGGAGGATGAAAATTGTCCACAAGTGTTTTGGGGGAGAGAATATAACTGTAGTTTAAAAAAAAAAAAAAAAATTAGAAGACTTTCTAGACATCAGTCTTTTTAATGATGTTCCAGAATAAAGCACAATCATTTAACATAACTGATTTTTTTTTTTTTTTTACTTGATCCTTTAAAAATACCGGTGTCTTGCCTAACTTGTAAGCACATCAGTAGTCCCTTTGCCTTCACTAGGGCAGAATGTGGAAACACAGGTTCGTTAAGTTCAAGACCTAGCTGAGCATTGGAGTCAAAATCAAGCCAGAGAAATTGCTTACACTGTCAGTGATAAACGTTTCCCGCTTTCATAGCGTTATTTAGTTTTCAATACAGAAACTTTTTTTTAAAGTAGAATGTGACATGTTATTGCAACCATATATGCACTAACTGAAAAGTACAGTATTTTTTACCCCTACCTTGAGTCTTGTTACGTGGCGTAGGGAGTTTCTGAAGTCGTAGGGCGGTAGAAAAGATTGAAGATGAGAAGGAAGAGGGCGAAAAGGCCTCAGTTTCTCCCCTTTTTTCCTGTCCTATTTGTTTTCCTTAGTTCAGTGCTCCTGGCCTCTCCTGGCTCGTTGCCTTGTTCCCATCAGCAGAGCCAAATCCCTGAAGCAAAATACCGGTAGTTTTCAGAGACGGCAGGTGAGGAATGAGGTGGTCTGGAGGTAGACCCAGAATCCTACTGAAACCAAGAATTTACATCTGCTCAATTATTGATTGTTTCACTTTCTTTGGCCGTCAAGCTTCGCCGACGCTCCTTGCCCTGCCGAAAAGGCTTGAGAACGCGCGCGGTGGTCGGTGGCGAGGAGCCGACGCTCACGGAGACGCGCGTTTTCTCTGCTCGGCGGCGTTCGGCCGCTGGTTCAGGCGCATTCTCTACTGCAGCGAAGTCATCCTGAGCGAGATGATTTGATGCTGCTGTTTGCTTTCCATCTGCGAGAGCAGACCTGGCGTTGCCATCGCGTTCGAGCAGCTGCAGACCGTACAGCGAGATCCCCCAAGTCTAAAATGTCGCGTAGCGGGCAGCTAGCGCGGTGCTGTTCTCGTTGACCCCGTCTTTTCCCAAAGTTGCATTAATCCTTCGTTTGATAACCAGAATTCCCACTGCTCGTGGACATCTGCGTCTGCCCGCTTACTTAAGCGCTGCGTTTTTTTCTGCTGTTCTTCTGCATTCTTGATTGGTGAATATGCTTTCAGTTTCACTTTGTTTTGGTGGTTGTGAATAATTGTAAAAAGGGAAAAGTAATAAAAAGCTTTTGCAATAAAATTACTTAAGTCAGTAAAATGAGGTTTTCAGGCTGTGGTCTGTGAGCTGGAAAGCGTGAGCACTGCCTTTAAGGGATAAAAAAAGCAAATTTGCTGGTAGCAGCTTAATTCTCTGTTCAGGACACTGTACTGGAAAATGCCAGGAGTTTCCAAAATGAAAAATATTAAAAATAATAGGTATACGTATTCAGATAATGAAAGTGTTTTGTATAACATAATTTAATGAAGATTAAAAGGTCACTGAGACAATTTAGTTTTCTTTTGGGTTTTTTTTCGCAGTAATTACATGGCTAACTTGGTTTACCTCAAAGTAATAATTTTGTATTGTGTATAGCAAAAAATTAACAATGTGAAAAATTATGTCATAGTACTCTACAATTAAGTTATAGTTTACAAACTCTCTACTAGCGGTAGCTTTAGGATACTAATCCCTGGTTATACCAAATGTTTGACTATGCATTTCATGTGATTGCCATATTTAGCACTGAAAATCGCTCCTGTTAGATTTGCAAACTGAATGCAGAAAAAACCAACACAAATACAGTAGAGGCAGTAGTTTACACTTCAGCTTGCTTGAGCCTGTTACGCCTTTTAATTTGGCTGCTGTTAATCCCAAATGAAAGTGCTCATATACAGTATGAAGAGTGCTTTTCTAGCCTACTCTGCTTGTAGTTAAAAGGTAATTTTACAAATCTAGATTAGCCCTTTATTATTTGTTTTAGGTTTTATGTCCAAACTGCTGGTTTGAATGTCTCTGTCAGGTTGAATTCTTTGCTCTAGCTTCTTCTGCTCTGACATTGTTTTCATGCTTTAATTTCTGTGTACCTTGAGGTGCTTTGGTTGCTTTTCACTTGTTTCTACTTTTGGTAAGTTACATGTTTGGGTTTTTTTTTTTTCTATTTATTTCCAGTTTGTGCTTTTTAAGAAAATTTCCAGGTATTTCTAGTATTTTACTTTCAAGTGAATCAAAATCTGCTTGATTTTGCAGAATGTCCTTGTTCCGTTCTGTCTAAGACTGCAGTAAGTTTTTATTTAAGCCTAATTAGTTACTGACTTTTGAATACATATAGATGCTATTAAATAGACAAGTTGTGAGATATTTAATTGAGTCTGTCTACAAAAGTGTTCAGTGACTAAGAGTAGTTTAGTCAATGTTAACAGTATGGTTTCGATAGAATACTTTCTTATTTGTGTTCTACTTCAGAAAGATTTTCTGCTTTTATAGCTTATAAATTCAATTATATATTTTTTGGTTGCAGGGAGAAGAAAATGAAAATTCAGGATATTAAAAACAATATTAAAGAAGCTATAGAGGTAAGCTCACAAGCCACTGTTTTTAAGTGTTCAAAGCCAGCTGCTCAAGCACACTCTGTAACAATTTTTTTCTCTCTGCAGACAATAGTGACGGCAATGGGCAATTTGGCACCTCCAGTTGAACTAGCCAATCCAGAGAACCAGTTTCGAATCGACTACATCTTAAATTTAGCTAACCAGATAGACTTTGATTTCCCACCAGTAAGTAAATAATTCTAATTGGCTACAATCATGCTTTTTTTTTTTTTTTTTTTGTAAACTAGAGAACCACAACAAGTCTTCCTACTTTAAATAGCTGTTTCAGTTTTGTATGAGCCAGAACAGCTACGGTAGGTGTCTTGAGTAAGTGCTAATCAAACAAAGTGTGTAGCGACACAGCTAAAATATTCACAGTGATCCTTCGGGAATACAGAAACCCTTGTCTCCTTCCGTACGCCCTACTGAGATACTCAGCTAGTTGCGATGGGCAGCGCTGGCTGCGGTGTCTGGATATTGCTGGGAATTGCCCTGCCCAGAAAGGGTGAAGATACACACAGCAGTCAGTGGTGACTAGCCGGCAGTTAGAGATATTGTATTTCTCTCTCTTTTGGAAGAATAGTAGGGTTTTCTTGCTGATTCAGGCGTGCTCTGTGACAGCTCCGTCAGCCAGAATTTCTGTGAAGCTTCCACATAGTGTGTCCTTGCCCATGACCCTCCCGGTGCTAGTTAATGATTCAGAATCCCAGCGGCCCCAGAGTACATGCAGAAAGTAAAAGTATTTGTTTGACGATACAGCTCTGTGTCCACCCAGTGTGACTAGCTTCTACTCTATCGCAACCAGGCAAGTAGCAGGAGGAGCCCAGGAAAATACAATTTGCAACCACTGAACTCTTCCAAAAAAATAAAATAAAATAAAATAAAAAAGAAATAAAAAGAAGGAGGAGGAAGATACTTTTATGAATTACTGTGTAGTACCTCACGGTTGTAATAATACAGTAGTGTGATTTCAAGGTTGTATTCTCTCTTTCTCTCTCCCTCTGCAATGCCCTAGAGGGCTGAGGGCAGGAATTGTTGTGTTGTGTCAAAATCACGACCCGTTTACACCACAGTTTTGTTTCCAGCAGTGGTCAGCGCCAGATGCTTGAAAGGAAAGTGCAAGTTCGAATAGTAATCCAATGCGGGATAGCTTGCACTCAGCAAGGTTTTGGTAACTCTGATTTATAAGCATTATTGAACAAGCTAGGCTGACAGTTACCTTCTGCAACTGTTGCCACTTCTGCGAATTTCTCTGCTTCCATCAGCCTTTATTTAAAAAAAAAAAAAGAAGTGCCTAAAAAAGAAGTACCTTGTGTACAAGGGAGAAGTCACTTAGTAGTAGCACTTAGATGGAAACACTGGCAGTGTGATCTTCCAGTCCAGTAATTTTCAAAGCGTAACAAACTCAGAAAGTTGATGGAGAAGGGGAAGAGTTGTTATTCTGTAGCCCATAAAGTAGGATATGAATCATTTCAGCCTAAAGAATCTTAAATAAATTGGTCCGTTTTGAGTTTTTGACTTGACACCGCTTCGATTTCGGCAGTTCTGTTACAGTTATGCACGAGACCATTTGGTCCCTTCATAAACAGTCTCCCTTTTTGGAGGGGGTGAGGGCAAAGAAGTTCATGTTCTGAAGATAGTTTTAGGAGAATATTCGAGAGAGAAGACAGCAACTCCTTACTCCACCCTGTGTGCTCTGGAGTTGGCTGGGTGCCTGCAGCTCTCGCACTGCCCATTGTTTTGTGATAGTTCAGGTTGTGATCTGTAACAATGTCCTTACTAATTCCTGTGACCTATCTCTTAACTGTAATACTTGATTTTTCTCTTGCATCTCAGAGAGACACATTCAACGGGACTGCAGTGATTTTGTGTGTATTTTGTCCCTGGAAGCAAGGGGTAGTAGTGTAGTGGTAAGGACTAAGCCCAGCCTGTATACGTGTGTGTTAGTTCAAGTCATGCGAACATGCACTGAAGAATAATGAAGAGATCTGACCTTTTCAATCTGAAATGATTTCTCCTCTTTCAGCTTTGTGTTGGTAGGGGCTTTTTCCAGGTGGAAAAAGTATTTTGCACGTGTTTGATGTAAAAATGAATATTCAGTATGAATTACAGAGCAAAACCCTTCCTAATCAAGGTGGAGGCCTTCTTGTAGGTAGTATTTGCTAGCAGGGAAGCATGAAAGCCAGCAGCCTGGCTTCTAGCCATATCTCTTCAGAGAAAAGAACTGTTTCTCAGGAATCAGTAATAGCCTGATACTCTCGTAAGGTGAAATGTATTAGGGACTGCAACAAGCTGCCCGCAGCAGTGTTTGCACTCACCTGTCCTGTGACATGTGTGACATGGTCAGGGATCCCTGGGCCGGAGCGACTGCAGGATGCAAAGTGGACAGAGCTTCCCAGTGTAGGTGACCATCACTAGGTGATCTGTGCTATGTTACGTGCCGTGTTGGTGGTGTCTGAAGAGAAGAGAGATTCTTGCCGGTCCTGTAAATGATCTCAAGTCTAGAGAGGAGTCTTTGAAGATGATGTGTCGAATGGCACACAACTGCAGGAATAAGAGCAGTTACAATGAGTAGCAGTCAATGAAAGTAGTTTTTCTTTCCTGGAGTAAAAGTAGAGCGTTAGAATTTTAAGCCCCGAGTCTACAGAGGTTTAGCTACGTGCTTAACCTTGGCTAATGGCAAGTTTCGTGGGCAAGATTAAGGTTAAGTATTTCACAGGTAAATGTTTGTAGGGTTGAGGTTTTGAACTGGATATCCAGTAGCCACTGATTTTGAAGGAGTATTTTTGCCTGTCTGTCCTCAGTGATGATACAAGCTAAAACGTCTCTAATTTCTGAGTTTATCTGAATATAGGTTATAGTTCTCTGGCACCTGAAAAATTGAACCTGCATGTTAATTTTATGTGTATTAAATCAAGCTAAGGTCCCGAATGCCCCTGGATGCCAACTCTCAGTTCACAGTACGTGAAATACAAGGTCCATGTTAACTTTGTTATTTTTTGAATAAAATGCTTTTAATTGATCTATAATCTTCTCTAAGTGGAAAGAATAGCCTTATACTAGTTATGCATTACAGCGAAGTAACTCTTCACTATATGTTTAATGTTGTTTAACAAAACAATGTCCAGTTCATTCATGTGGTTGCACCTATTGCCAGGTCACTGTTCTGCATGTGCTGCGGTAAGTTCCACCGGGTATATATTGTAATATATGTACTCAGAACTTTAAAATGAAAGTAAATTTAAAATAAAAGTGAAGCCTTCGACAGTCAGAAAAGAACGAGAGATGCTGAAATTAAGTTAACTATTTACATTTTTTGTTTGTGCCTGACTATCCTAGTTTATATCAGATACTAGCCAGCTAGCTGTGTTTTTTCTGTAGTGCGTGATTTTTAACCAGAGACACCAGCAGGATTTTGGCAGAGTCGGGGGAGAGGGGACCTGAAGGGAAGGGTTCCCTTTCCGTCCCGCCGCGCCTCGTGCCGCCAGTGAACGCGTGTAACGCAGCCGTGGCAGAATTTCCTGGAAGTGGCTAGTCAGCGTGCTCTTGGGGAGAAAAGCAGTGAAATACTGAAACAACTGATTCCCTACCATCTCCTGCAATGCTCTGATGGGAGAGTTTCATGAACTGGCAGCTGAACTGCTCCCTATATGGGTTATTAATGCAAAAGAAAGGCGGGGGATTTTTTTAGTGCTATTTAGCGGGTATGTAATACTGTTTGTGTTGAGTTTTAGGACTTGCTTTCTGTCTCTCTCTTTTCTGGGTGAGGAATCCTATTTCGGCTGTTATGAGGCCATACTTCCCTCAGTACTGTCTGGTGCTGCTCTTCTCTGCTTAGTGAGAACAGGAAGAAGAAATAGGGAGGCAGGAGAGCCATGTAGAGAGGAGATGTTCTTTGAGGGCTACGAGGCCTTTTTAATCGTCTTCAACTCCCATTCGTGTTCCTCTAAACGTTAGTTTACCAAGCTGTCCAGAAAGCGATGGTTCTAAGCACTGGTTCAAAATCAAACGGCATTTAGTACTGGTTTTGTGTTTTCCTGTTTTATTTGGATTTTCTTTGGTTGTTTTAAATTGTACTCAGACTACCTAATTTCTTTTCCAACTAGAGAAGTTTTTCTTTAGAATATAAGAGGCCTCATTTGTCTCACGTGCGTGAAGGAAAAAGTTTAAAATACTCTCCAAAGACTTCAAAATTATCTGTTGTACAAGCAGGGCTAGAATTAATGTTTCCTCATCATGAAGTCCAGCGTGATGTGAAAGGCAGAAGAAAGACTAAAGGAAGCATAAAGGTAGTAGCTTTACAACACTGTGACGGTAGCGTAGGGATCTGGCTCTGCATCTCTCTGGGATTCAAATAGCAACTTCTGTATTCTGCCGTTGTAATTCTTTTCTTCTTCTGCGACTCCATCTGCTTGCTTTGCAAGCCCACGTTTCTAGGAAATGTGTGTCATTTCTGTAGAGTATACAGTGTTACATGAAAAAAATGTATTAAAAATAATGTTGATACAGTGCAATGCTAGATTAAACATTCTCTTTAAAACTGAAAAATTAATATGTTGGAGACTTCTAATTCAGTACACTTGATATTAGGCAATTAAATTTTTTGAATACAAGTTGTAGCATATGGAGGAAGGAAGACAGTGCTTACTGAAAGGACTTCTCTCTGCATGCTGACGATTTAAAGCATTGCAGTATTTAATAGATTTTTAGCCTTTTTTTTATTTCACTCTTGCAAAATAAACCAGTATTTTGAAGAGTTGATGGTCCGGTTTGTCTTGTCTTGGGTATGTTTTCAGCAGGCAGTTTCTAAAATTTGAATGTAAGTTTGAAAAAAGGAAAACCAAAATTTGACTGAAGAGATTGATAAAGGCTGGAGAGCCTTTTTACTTTCATGAAGTTATGCTGATTCAGCCTAAGAAATTGCAGGAGTCCCATGCAGTAGCCATGGAACAAGCCCATGAAATGTTTTCAGTCCATCTGCAAGTCCTAGATCTCTATCAACACACACACGTCCTGTGTGTCGGTGAGGAAATAGAATATCTGAACACATAAAATCTAAATAGCTGTACAGTATAGCAGATTCTAATTAGTTATACAGAAGCATTTGAAAAGATTGGTTAGATTTTAAGTAAGAATACAAATAAAGTTACACTTGTGCAAGAATGATATTCAATCCTTTAGATGAG